TTTTTTTTAATCAGAAAAAGTCATAGGGAAAGCAGTTAAACAAGAAAAACTTTTCTAAATAATTTATTTTATCGTTAGGTATTATTATAATAATAGACAGATGTCATCGTCTCTCGAAATACAATATCTTTCTTATTTCGCTGTTGATAGCCTGACACGTGTTCCGCAGCCATCTTGTATTTTCTCGCGCGCGTGGGATTGTGGGATCTCTCTTATGACTGGATCTAGTTTTGAGAACTCTCTCGAGTCGATCGCGATTGAACCTCGTTTTAGTCGCGATTGAAACGGTCGATGGATGTTGCACTAGGCGAACAGGGTATAATGCTCTAGTTTAGTAGTGTTACAGAGTATAATATGTATATTTTAATACATTTTTTAAAAGAAACAAAACTACTGAGAAATGTTACGTGTGTTTAACAACGGGTTTGGAAAACTTTGAAAATGTTAACAACGGGTTCGGCCGAACCTGTGCAAACCCGCTGAATATCACCACTGCTCATCTATATGTAGCAGTGGTGATATTGTAGCAGTGGTCATCTAATATTGGCTCCTCTGTAATTGACTTGGCTTTGGTTAAGTTAAATAGATTATCTATTGTAACAATATTTTCCGTATTAGATAAAGTGTATAGTAATCATTTTTCGATGAGTATAGTTTTAGATTGTAAATCTAAGAAGGAAATTCGAAAATCATTTAAGAGGTCTATGAGTAAGAGTGAGAGAATTTTTTGGAGGGAAGAAGGTAGTGAGAAGGTAAATTATAAGTATAGGGAATTATTGTGTGTGATTCAGAGTCAGTCAGTATTAATGTTCGAAGGTTTAACTCATTTAATTAAATCGTCATTTTCAGATTGGTTTCAAAGGCCAGTTGGATTTTCCAATTTCGTGTGGTTTGATGTGGATTGTAAGTCGCGTATTGCAAGAAGAAATCAAACGTTGAACAGGATGAGACGAGCAAAGAGTGGAAATAGTGTTGCTGTGAAGAATTTTGTTAAAGAACGTAATGTGACTCGCAATTTATGTAGAGCTAAGAAAAAGCTTTTTTTTTGCAGAAGATCAATAAGAATTTGGCGTCTGGTGATAGTAAACAGTTCTGGCAATTTATTAATTTCTTTGTTAAGAATAAATACAGGGAACTTCCAGATCTTGATTGGGTAGCTTTTTTTTCAAAGAAATTTCACTCTAGTAAATATTTACCGGATATGTCTGTATATAATTGGTGTATGAATTGGCAGGACGAGTTGTTGGACACGGAGATAACACAACAGGAAGTCAAAAAGATACTAGCTACTATGAAAAATGGTACTGCTCCAGGTATTGATGGTATACCGGTGGAACTATATAAGAATTTCCCAGATCTGATTGGATATATGGTAGGTCTGTTTAATAATGTTTATCAATCAGGGATGATTCCTTCAGATTGGCACATATGTAAGATTATTCCTATATTTAAAAAAGGACTTAGAGATTTACCTGACAATTATAGAGCAATTTCGTTACTACCAACAATTTCTAAAGTCTTTTGTAAAATTTTATGTATGTGTTTGATATCTTGGCTGAATAAGTTTGAGATATTTTCAGATTTTCAGGCTGGTTTCCAGTCTGGTTTTTCAACATTGGATAATATTTTTGTTTTATATGCCTTAATACAGAAGTCTTTAAAGAAGAAACGAGGTAAATTTTACGCCTTCTTCGTTGATTTGACGGCGGCATTTGATTTGTTGGATAGAGATCTTTCATGGAGTCAACTTCTGAAGATTGGGTTGAGCTATAAATTTGTAAACTTTTTGATTCAGTTGTACACTAATACAGAAGCGTGTGTGTCTACTAAGGAGAATACGACTGATCTGTTTTTCACGTTAAAAGGTGTGAAACAGGGTTGTGTATTGAGCCCAATATTGTTCAATTTACATTTGTATCCACTTGTAAGTAAACTGAATGACTCTAATTTGGTGGGAATTGATCTTTTAGGAACAGAGGTGAAAATTTTGACATATGCAGATGATTTGGTTGTTATGGCAAATTCGCCTATAGGTCTACAGAGAATGATTGACTTTTTTAAAACATACACTACAGGAGTTAAAACTGTCTGTTAACATTGACAAATCTAAAATAATGGTATTCCGAAATGGAGGAAAACATTCTAAGAATGAGAATTGGTTTTTACAAAATTGCAAAATAGACGTTGTCGATGAGTACAAGTATCTGGGTGTAGTTTTCCAGTCTAACAGGCGTTTTTTAAAACATTTAAAGTATATTCACAGTAAAGTGACCTTTGGAAATGATAAGATTATTAAAGCTTGTGTATCTGGTAGATTGGTACGTTGGAAAGATAAATTAAAATTATTTGAGTCATTTATTCAATCAGTAGTGTTATATGGATCCGAAATTTGGGGCTTTGATTGGAGAGATAAAGATGATAATATACAAATTAATTTTATTAAGCGTTTATATTCTCTAAAGAGATGGATTCCATCGTATATTATATATTTGGAGTTTCAAAGAGTCCCCCTTTATTTTAATATAATAAAAAATAATTTAAAATGGTTACGTAAGCAGTCTGCTAGTAAACTTACAGAGTCTGCTAAAATATTTTTAATTTCCCAAAGAGTATCGTGGGGAGATCGAATTGTGTCTCTGTTGCAGAAATCTGGTTATCGAAAGGATCCGATAATGTTAAATGAAATTGAGACTTCAGATTTTTTAATGAGTTTGGCGAATAATTATGTAACTGAGTTTAAAAACAAGGCGATTAATTACAAATATAATAAATGGTATATGGATGTTTTTAATGAATGGGGGTCGATGACCTATCTGAATTTAGAAAGACCTTTTTGTATTACACAAGCAGTATTATATGTGAGATGTAATATGATTAGAAGAATGTTAAGTCCATGTATGGACTACTGTGAATTTTGTAATACTACTGTTAATTTTGACGCTTTTCATGTAATAACGGAATGTAAGGCGTTGACTGCACTCAGACAAAAGTGTTATGGTGAAGATTGTTTTTCGGTTCAAGCATATAAACGGTTGCTGCAGGACTGGGATAAATATTATTGTATTTATAGTTTTGTAACTAAGTTAAATGATTGACTATTTATTTGTTAAGATTAAGAAACTTTTCCTTTTCAGATGCTTACCACCAGGAGGTGTAAATTAACTATTTAAGTGAACGATTTAGTGTTTGAGAGTTGGCAGCATTTATGGTCGGTGCTTTTGGGCGTATTTTAAATAATTGTTTACTCTTTTGCAGGTAATTGCTTATTTTTGTTTTTTCTTTTATTTCTTTTATTCTGTATACGGTGACCATTCGCTGCCATTTTTTCATTTGTCTTGTTCATATATTTTACTCATAAGAATGTAAATATTATTATTTTGGATGATATTAACCTTGTGCTAGCTTTTATTTTTTCTTTTCAGTCTAAATGTCACGCGTTATATTGTATTAATGTTCTTTTGTTTTGTTATTTATTACAGTTTGTAACTTTAGTTATAATAGCCCGTACATACAGGGTTTTCCTTGTACTAAATAAATAAATAAAAATAAAATAAATAAAAGGTTTATATTTAAAGGCCTGATCTACTAAAAATCAAAATCATTTTCAGTGACATAATGAATACATACATCTTTATTTAAATACCTTTCTTTTGTCTACTAATCCAAACTTTAATATTAAATTTCCTTCAACAAATCGATGCCAAATATTCTCTTGACTCTGTACTTCTAAACGATGGTTATATTCCTCTGAAGAAATATCTAAAATTGATGGTTGTTTAGCAGGTTTGTTATTCTGCTCATCATCATCTTCTTGTAAAGCCAAACCTAATAATCTTGTCATTTGTTTATCATCTAAACCTGGAGTCAGATGATCTGGTACCTTTGATTAATAAAAATTAAAATTGCAGAATATTAATTAACAAATGTGTCATTACTTACATTTTCACAAAATAATTTTGTTTTTGATAAGATAAAACTTGTAAATGTAATAAAACTGCTTTTTTTCTGTTGTATCAAAGAAATTCTCAAATCTCTTCAATTAAATACACCAGAGTGAATATACACCTATGAAATTCTTTTCTTGCTAATAAGAATGAATGCCCTTGTTAAATACAGTGAAAGGCAGGTATAATGAATTTATCTTAAATCTCTTGCCAATTTCCTATATAGCTCAATGCAAAAACGTTTCAGTTTAATAATTATTATTCTAATGAAAATTTCAGTTTAAAATAATAAAAATTCTGTCTGTAATAAAGAACAATTTCATTATAATTAAATCTATAAATGTGTAAATCATTCATTTTTAGTAAATGACGAATATTATGTCAGTCTAGCACTCTCATTTTAAAGGTCTAGTTCAACTAACAATACTAATTTTAATCCTTAGTTATGGTTTCGTTTTGATGCTTTTGCTCTACAGTTATTTCTTTTTAAGTTTACAAGAAAAAAAATAAAAGATAATGTGCAAAAAGGAATTTAAAAAAAAAAAAAACATGTGTCTGACAGCCTACTGGAATGCTGTGTCACAGTACAAGATTTTATCAAAAAAACTTTGATTAAACAAATGACAATAAAAAATTAGACTTCTTTAAAGATGCTTCTTAAAAAATTAACCAAAATCTTTGATTTAAAAATTAATTGCTTAAATGAAAAATACAATAAATTACTTGATATTGACTGCGTAATTCTTCATTACTAGATGTTCCTGGAAGATAGGGCAATATTGGAGGAGCAATCTGTTCATGTAGTACATCCCACGGAACATTCTTAAAAAAGGGATGATTTTTGATAGAAGGATAACCATTGCTATCTGATGCACCCAGTCGTTGTCGTGGATCGAGAACCTAGTATAAAGACAGTTTTAATTTTTAAAGCTTATTTTGACTATGCTGTGAATAGAAATATTCCTACCAATAATTTTTCTACTAAATCTTTTGCCAAAGATAAAAAACCATCAGGAAAATCATACTCTAATGTTGTTATCTTCTGAAATATCAAATATTCATTTCTGTAAGAAAAATGTATATATTATAAATATTAATCACATTTCAGATAAGGTAAAATATTTAAGATATTATATATTTAATACATGTAAGTTTGCAAAATTAAAATTTTCTTTAAATTGACTTTTTGTAAATGCTGATCTTAAATGTTAATTAGTTGTTAATTTTATTGGTGCAAGGGCCATTTTGAACAAACTGCACCATTAAACAAGGTCAGGAGTAAATAAATATACAAATAAATAAATTTAAATATGGTTTATAACAATAGTAAAATATCTAAACATAAACAAGGATAAAAATTATACAAAATAATCATAATAATATCAATACAAAACTCAAACTACTGTACTACAGTAGAGTGTCGATTATTCGAATCAATTGGAAACTGGGGTTGTTCGGAAAATCGATATTTTGACATCACACCTCGTGATGAGTTAAGACTCCCAACATGGTGTTGCAGAAATTGTAATATGGCCTAATGATGTTGTGGAGAGCTATTTTAAGGACTGTTGGGCAATAAGGTCTCTACAAGGTCACCTGATGATAATATTTGTACTTTCTTTGAATAGACAAATGTTAATTCGAGTAACTTTTGGGTTACTAAAGGCAAACATTCTGCTATTCGTCGTTCCCTACTTGCATCTAGCATCAAATATCATTGTTGCTGTGAGGAAAAGGAGCTAGTCTTAGGTGGTGACTGATCAGTGAAAAGATATTTTGGAGTAAATGAAATGTTTGGTTCCTGGCAACCCCACCAATCATGGGTCCAACATTAAGATTCCATCACATGAATAACACCAGGTTTCCCAGAAGCTACAACCTAATTAATGAAGCTGTCATGAGGAATGTATCTTGTCTGATGCGACAATATCTTGTCACAGAGACATGTCAGTCTGGTTTTCTCAATCAGTTAACTCCAAGCAAAGGTCAATGACTAGTCAATTGAATTAAATGGAGTCTTAGTCAAGCCTCCATTTATATGAAGCAAGTGCCAAACAGTGTATTGGAAACAGTATGTTGATTCTCAACTGCCAAGATCCCTCTTTCTGTCATAAAGGTCCCCATCTATAAATGTGGATGGATGTTCAGATCTCCAAAATGGTAAAAAAAGATCTAAACCATCCTTGGTCCCCTCACCACAGACAAACCCATATTGAGGGGTTGATCTTAAATGAAGTTTAAGATAAAATTTATAATAATAAGCATCAATATACTCACGGAGCTCGAAAAGGTGGAAGTCCTGAGACCATTTGATAAATTATACAGCCTAAAGCCCATAAATCTGAACTGAAACAAAAATAAATTTTTGTTAATTTTTTAAATACGTTTTAATAGTACACATATATTTTATATTGAAAAATTTTGTCAAACCTTGATGAAGCATTTTTATCAGTCAGCATTTCAGGTGAAACATACTGAGCAGTTCCAACAAATGAATTCTTTCGAGAAGGTTCTGAACCTAAATTTTAATAAATGAAATTCAATCAAATAAACAAAAAAGTTTTCATATCAGTTTGATAATTTTTCTAAATAATTGTAAACATGACTAACACATCTTCAACATAGAATTATACATTTTTTTAATATACTCTTTCACATAATTGGTCAAAATTATAAAGTAATTATTTGCAACATCTCATATCAAATTTATAAACTACATGACAAAGTCAACATATGTAAACAATTTTATGATAAAAATCAATGACAAGATGTGAGAGAACAAAGACATAATTTCATTGAAATGTATTGGGAACAGTGTCACCCCATTTCTAACTTTCATTAGAGCAAATTTTGGATTTTTCAAAACTGTGCTTCAAATAAATTTATAGCAGTGAGATTATTCAATTCAGATATTACAATAAATGCTAAAGATCATCATTCATTGTAGTAAGAATTCACACAGAGGGAGTTTAGATACTGGAATGGTGTATATTGAGATATTCTTTAAATTTTTATATAAAAAATATTTAATTTTATATAACTTTTCAATCATTTAATAATATATCTTAGTTTTGATCAAAGTTTTGTTTATATTATTATATTTTTACAAATTATTAAGAGTTCTTACCAGATTCATCATGCTGTAAAATTTTTGCTGATCCAAAATCAGTAATTTGAATATGCATCTTATCATTCAATAAAATATTTTCTGGTTTCAAATCCCTACGAAAAAAAGCAAAAGTTTTCATTAATTTTTTATGATGTAGTATTCATTTTATTTATTGATTAGATAAGTATTTTTATTTACTCTGCAACACAATCAAAACTGAATATAATAAAATAAATTCAAAAAATAATTATGTAGCTAACACTGTTAATAATAGCATTAACACTAATGACATATGGAAATTTGTAAAACATGCTTCTACCAATAAAATAAAAATATGTAGGGAGATATGCTTGGGTTCTCACAAGAGATTCGACCTCATCTCTTCAGTTCTAGGGTTTGATATAGTATAATCAGATTTTAATGTCTCAAGTAACTAAAAAAGTATGCTTTCTATATAATTATTTAATTCATTTCTGGCTAGATTTTGTCTTTTCTTCAAGTAGTTATGTGATTTACACATTAAAGTTTATATAATTTAAAATTTTTGCTTGTTAAATTATTATTATTATTATTGATTGAATATTTTATAGATTTACCATTAAAAATCTACCACACACGTTTTTTATACACTAGATGCCCTATTATAATTGTAGATTTAAAACTAAAATTTAACAAAAGTTTAACTCAAATTATTAACTTTCAAAAAAATTATAACATTATTATTTTTTATTTATTTTTTACTTTTCAGTAAAGGATAAGCATACAACTAATATAACTTGTTAAATTTTTTTAAATTACTGCTCAACTTAATTTTTTATAACAATATGACTTAAGTAAATAACTTATCTTGCCAGTCTCTTATCAAAACTGAAAAATTAAAAATGCAACTTTCAGTTTCTAGAATTACTTCATCAAAGTAATAATAAAATTTTATGCAACACATTATATGTATGTCAAAAATACATACAAGTGATCAACCAAATTCCACTTCAATACAAAATAATTATTATAAAGAGATAAAGTTTGGATGTAGGAGGTAATCTCCGAAACTACTCATCCGATTTCAAAAATTCTTTCACCAATATTTAGAATAGACCTTCAGGGTGGACATAGGATGTATATTATTCCGTTAAACATTCATATAAATTAAAAGATATCATCTTTACCTAGATGATATCTTTTAATTTATATGAATGTTTATTTTTAGCATTATATTTTTGATGTCAGTGGGTGGCAAGGATCAAGATGCATACGTATACAAGATAGGTAACCGTGCAGCACAGTCGCATGGTCAGTGAGATATGCAGTGCATGTGCCTGAACTTGTATATTATATAGATGTCAAAATTCCCCGTGGAGGAGAAGGACAAAATTAAGGCTTACTGTGAAGAACTCAGCTTCTACTATACTATTTTAGATACAGTTTTTTTGCGTTTTAATAGGGTTCGTCAAGAGAATGTACACTAAAAAGGGATTTTTCAAAATTCCCTCCTGCAGGGAGTGTTATACATTTATAATAGATACATTTTGAGCAACAGCAATGCGTGGCCGGGTACAGCTAGTACAAAATGAAATCTAATAGACTGAATTATTGCAAAATAAGCATAAACTAAATTGAAATCTTTATCAAGAACACTCTTGATAATCCATCCTCTCAATTACATGGCAATCCCCACATGTGATTGCCTATGTGCTTCTATTTTCATGAAAATGTTCATGTCACACACCATGCTTTCCTATTTATGGGTTTCATTTCTGTATACAATATTACATGTCAGCATGGCATAATATTTTTCTTGCCTGCCTCCACAAAGAATTGGTACCAAAAGGTGATAGGTCATATCACTCATTGTCAAGGCCTATACATTCTCAGTAATCCAGCACACTCACTAATCTGACACTCCGTGCAAAGAATAGCCAGATTAGCAAGTATCTAGTGACAATTCAGAATTTTCATATAATAAAATTTCTACATGAAAACCTTCTAAATTTAAATTATTATTAGATTTTTATCAGGTTATTGGTGTCTGATTCTGGATAAGATTTAACTGTAATCCTACTAAATTCTTATGTTTTAAAAGTATTTATAATTGAATTTTTTTTTGTTCTATTCAGAGCTGAAACTAGTTTAAATCAGCTATTTTATTTGATTATAATAAAAGATATTACTATTTAGCTAAATGTATCTAAAATCATTTATAAGTGAAATTAATGAATTATTTCACTTATATAAAATTAAAATATATAAACTAAAACTAAACAAGCTACACAAAAATGTTGCAATTAGCATTTAATTCTAAAGTAAGGTCAAATTAATTGAACTAATCAAATAACTAAATTAATTAATACTAATATAAACAAAGGACTGACTTACCTGTGAATTATACCTAATTTATGTAAATGTTCAAGGGCAAGAAGAATTTCTGCTGCATAGAATCTTGTACATTCCTCATCAAAGGATCCAACTTTGACAATATACGGTAATAATTCACCATGTTTTGCATAGCTCATTACAAAATCTTAATTAATTAAAGAAAACTCTAAAATAACATAAAAAGTTTAAACTATTTAAGTTGTAAATCTTAGAACTATAGACAAAAAAAATATGAAAACTTTATTTTTTAAATAAACATTACATGATTTATGCAGAGTTATCATTTGTACAAGACAACCTGCATTTTCATTTGCATAATTTGACCAAGATTTATAAGCTGATGTAATGCTACATTCAAAGCACCTTTGCAAGAAATATCAGGGGTGTTCAAAAAGTTCACAGAAAATGTAAATAAAAAGACAGAAAATTGAATTTAGTGCTTTATTTTTCAACATACATTATATTTCAGTTAAAATATTTTTTCATACAATATTGCCATACTTCTAATCCCTTCTGGTGGAAATTAGTGCTATTTGATTCTACAAAATGTTTCACTTGATCTAGAAACTGCCACCCAATGCATTTAATCCCCTTTTTTAAACCTAGAAATTAAAAAAGTCTGATGAAACTAGACGAAAATACCTTATAAAACAAGTCTCAACAAGTTCATGTTCACATCAATTAATTATAAATGTAGCATCCTGTTCACAAATAATAACTACTTTCCAAGAAATTTTTGATATCTCATGTACATGATTCAAATTATTAATAAATGGCAAAACAATGATAAACAAGTGAAACCTGCACTTGTTTACATCTAAAAACTGTATAAGCATTATTATAAATAAGCATTTGAAGATACTAGAAGATGTAAAGTAAAATCTAGCTGTGAAATAAAAAAAAAATTCCAAATTCCAAACATCTAGAAATTATATGCAAAACATACTATCAAAGCTATTAAAAGCATATGTTGTCCCTATACTCACTTATTGTTTTAAAGTAATACACTGGACTTTCACAGATTGCAAGCATCTCCAAAGGAAAACAACAACACTTAGTAAGCATAAACAATATCAACCAAAATTATCTTCAGAAAGACTAACTCTTCTTCATAAAAAAGGTGGCTGCAGCTTGACTAATATAGTTAACCTGCACTAAAACAAATTCTGACACTGTGGGAGTTTTTCCACAAAAAAACAAGAAATGTCAAGATTACATGTTATAACTCTGGCAGACAGTAACCACACACTGAACACACACACATTAAATTTTCTCTAAAATATAATAGTATATGGAATATTATGTGCCTACATATTGGAAGCATTGGTTTCCTTAAGGGAAAAATAAATATCACTGCTTACATAGTTATGTTTGTTTAATCCCACCTGCACAATTCTATTATGGCAGCAGAACATGGGGAAAACCTTAATTTATCAATAAGATGGAGCTCCATGCCATAAACTTGCAATAACTAAGAACTAGTTTAAAGAACAATCTAGTGTTACATTAAAATGACTAGAAACAGTCTCAACTTAAACTTATTGAATGAATCTGGGATAGAATGAAGAAAAAAATGTTAGAGTAAAGCCTCAAGCTGTGTGGCAATGTTGAAAACTGAAATCAGAGATGCTTGGATAAGCATTACACAAGAATCAATACCACATCATGTGGCAGCAGTAAGTCTGAACAAGGCTGGATGAAATATTAAAGTGTAATTTTATTTCATTTACTATATATATTTTTAAAAAGTTTCTTGTCCATTAATAGTGAAGTTTCTACATTTTTGTCTTTCATATGAATTTTATTTTCAAGATATGAATGGAACAATTTGAATAATAATTTTTTTTTTTTATTGTAACAAAACACATTAATCTGAAAATAAAGTACACTAATTCAAAACACTAACAATTTAAAATTTTTAAAGATATACGTTAAGTTTTATATAGTTTATTTCATTAAATGTATTAGGAGTAAACACTAAATTTTCATTAAAAAATACTATATAATTATATATAAAATAACAAGTCCAATATATATTAAAATTTGGCCATCATAAAATTAAGATATTACATTATTTGGACTAAAGATGAATGCTTAAGACACCTTCTTGTAGTTAAGTTTGATAATTAAAAATAAATTAATATACAATATTCTGGAAGAAAATATTGGTCTAGAGCCAAAAAATAAATCTAAAACTTCAGCTTACCATATAGATGTGTTGTCAATAATGCTACTTGGACCACATCTGATCCTCACTTCTAGACCAATTAATTTAGATATAACTATGGATATATAATCATATAGATCACTCATCATTAAATTAATGTTAATTGATTAAAATATATTTCAGTTTAATTAATATTTGATTGTATAATCAAAATTAATTAAAATAAATAAATAAATAAATTTATATTAAATAACAGAGAGACACTGATAATTAAACAAAAAATATAGGGGAAGATCATTCCATATGTGGTCAGTTTNGCATCATTTTTAAGCAAAAAAAATTTTAAAAAATACACGCGTTTTAAGACCCCGGGGGTTCTATATAACCCCGCGCGCCTAACCGTGGGTTAAGATATTACATTATTTGGACTAAAGATGAATGCTTAAGACACCTTCTTGTAGTTAAGTTTGATAATTAAAAATAAATTAATATACAATATTCTGGAAGAAAATATTGGTCTAGAGCCAAAAAATAAATCTAAAACTTCAGCTTACCATATAGATGTGTTGTCAATAATGCTACTTGGACCACATCTGATCCTCACTTCTAGACCAATTAATTTAGATATAACTATGGATATATAATCATATAGATCACTCATCATTAAATTAATGTTAATTGATTAAAATATGAGTGATATTAATTTAGATATAACTATGGATATATAATCATATAGATCACTCATCATTAAATTAATGTTAATTGATTAAAATATATTTCAGTTTAATTAATATTTGATTGTATAATCAAAATTAATTAAAATAAATAAATAAATAAATTTATATTAAATAACAGAGAGACACTGATAATTAAACAAAAAATATAGGGGAAGATCATTCCATATGTGAACAGTTTCACCAAAAAACCACTTAAATTTTGCAAAGTCTATCTTTTCAAAAACATTCCCACATTTATTGTTAACTGGTATCCATGTAATGAGTCTGAAGTATGAACTTCAGCAAGATGAAGGCAAACCAATTTCAGGGAAGTCTTGTTTAACTTTTCCAGGTAACACTTGTAAGACTCTCAGTCAGCATGTTTTGCAGCATTCCAGTTGAGACTAAACCATGAAGAAATATGTCTATTGGGATGCATGTATGTTATATTGTTGTCAAATCACAAGATTTGTCACTATCACTCACATAGTAAAAACTGCACCATTTCCTCAATTTGATATTCCACTACCAAATATGTCCAGTAGTAGAACATCTAAATTCATCCACTGGCAAAATGGATTTTGTTTATGTTGCAACAGGCTAAAATTGAATCTTTTAAAAATTAATCATTATTAGAACTATATCTGGAATAATTAATAGGTTTTCTAGATGAGTAGTGATCTTCAAATTGCCACTGTTGAGTACTGCCTGAGTAGAAATACAGAATGGATCTGCAACTGATGACAAACTTATCACATACCTTGCAAGGGTTCACAAGTAATCACAATCACAGATAAAAAAACACATGTAGTTGACATAAACGACACATTTGCTAAGCTGCCACTATCAATACCTATAGTTTCTTCATCCTTTATGAATGTCAGAGACATTTTTATTTACTATCCCTCTTGATGGACTTGCCAATGTTGGTTAATATTAAAACATTTTATTATTAGCATGCGCAGCTTATGATTTTAAGTGAACAGTGAATATTATGTAATCAGCATTTTTATATTGTGAAAGGAATGTCACTTATCTGCTTTGAGAATCATTTTGTAAATCACTTAAATACAAATGATGGTAGTTTTAAACTTTTTAGAAAATGTGAATATTTGAATCTGCTTTGTTCATAACTTCATGTTGAAGAAGGTAGAATGTCACTGTCCAGTTGTATATCACCCTGCTCCATGACTGAATGCATGAGTGACTTGCTGTTATTGGAAAGTTAAGTTTTTTCTGGGTAATTCACTTTTGATACTAATGAAATGTTGCTTCTAAATTAGGGCAATGGATAGAACTGTAGCAGTGTATAATTAAATTTATTCTCCAAAGTCTCGATTCACAACAAATGAATGTAAACTAAAAAGTGTCCAAATGTGGAATAGCTCCCCTAAACTTTCTAATTTCAAAGATTTTACTCTTAATGAGAAATAATCACTAAATAATAAACAATAAAAGGATACATAATCTATCTGAATCTTGAAATGTACAATACAATTTAATGAAAAAAGGACTTGGATGATTATTGAGAATATTCATTATTTGTTTTTCTCTCATAATTGCTTTTTGCTTTTTCTCACGAATAATGTGTCTTTTTTCACAAACTTTAACTAAAAATAATTTTGTAATCATTAGTATAATTAAAATATGATTATAATAATTTATCAAAATACTTAGTATATTAAGTTTAAAAATAATCCCGTCTTTTATCTTTTCTTGAATACTAATTAAAAGTAGATAAGACATTTGTATTCTTACTATCAGATATAATAAATAAAATTCATTCACAAGAATTCAGTTATTTTTAGTTTGTTAACAAGTAATACACAGAGCGATAATTATCATTAAGGATATCAATAACGTTTTACATCAGTAAGCTATAATTAAACCAATAAAACTCCATCCACATATTTAAAACTCTCATTAGCCGTAAAGAAGAATGTAAATGTAAGTGCATATTCTAGAATTTTCATAATCTTAGAAAACTATTTCATTTAAATTATAAATTTTCAAGCAAAATTCTAGTTTTTATCAGATACTCAACCTTACAATTTAATCTGATAGAAACATCAAATTGCAAAAAATTAAAAAAGTAGATACAAAAAAAAAAAAAAAAGTTGTGATTTCTGTATGAGCAAAAAAAGTAAAAAAAAAAAAAAAAAGCTTATGCACTTCATCTTAAGACAGTCATTGTAAGCTTTCAAATTTCAGAAAATTTGCTTTGTTAAATCATTATTTTACTAAATTAGAATTTAAGAAAAAACTTTATATGTTGAGATGTTTTCTTTTCCTTCTGAATATACTGGCAGCACAAAGATTTTTATAACATATTGTAACTTGGAGCATTTTACTTATCAAATACAAAGTAATAAAACATGCAATGTTTTAAAATCTATATGTTAACACGTTCATGACGTTATGAGGCACATGTGACTCGTATAGACATGTCTAGTTAGGGCAACAGATATGGGGCGACAGACGGAGCGACGCATATGTTTTGATAACATAATTCTACAAACATCAAATATATATTGATATTATTTTATTACATGCAATAAAATATATAAATTTAATAGTATGAGGCACAGGTGACTCGATCCGCCCTGTATTAAAATAGACTACGTGACTCGTAACGCCCAGCAGAACATAAAAACCAGTATTAAAATAGCATACTAATTTTCCCCCTAAAACATATCATCAAAGAGAAAAACGTCTATAATAAAGCACTAAAAAAATTCAATACCTAAATAATAATGAACATATTAAAATTACATCATATGCTTAAGATAATAACTGCATGATAACCACAGTAATTATATGTCTCTCAGCTATGATATAATTACACTGATTAGTGCAAACTGACTTCATGTATAGAATATAACCTTATATAAAAATACTTGAACATTTTTTTTAATGTTTATTGTACTAAAATTAGAATGGCAATTGAAGCCCAAGGTTAATAAAATTTAAAAAATTCCACACATTCAAAAATCTAATCTTCATATATAAAGGTTTTTTAAGGCATTTTCTGAAACTTACTTGCATATTCCTTATTTGATTGCACATCTTTTCCAAGATATACCTGCAATAAAAAGATTTAGTTATTAACTCAATCTTCAAGCTGTTAAAAATTTTACATTTACAAATAAAATACTTACAGTTGAAAATGATCCTTCTCCTATAAGTTTTCCAAATATAAAATCTTTTGGAGATTTTTTCATTTGCGATGACTGTAATTGTACTGGAGGAGTTGACGTATCTGGACAGCTTAAATTGGTATCATTACCTATTGATGAGCTTCCTATTGAATTCTTCATGGGTGGTTCTCTTACAGGTCTTTGAATAGACTAAAATAAAAATGATTGATTAAAATATAATAAAACAAGAAAGTTTAAAAAAAAATTATATTTTGACATTTTATGAAAGTTATTTTTTCTCTATCTTGTCAACATTATATTTTAAGTACAGAATCTTTTAAAAGCTGAAACTTTTCTAGCATTTATTTAGACTGTTGTTTAATTTATGTATACAGTCTTTGTGATATTTTATTTATTCTGATGATAAAAATATTCAGCACTTGCTTGGACAAACTGTAATCGCACTGCATGTCAAACCAAAAACAATGAAACTAACAAAATTCATAAAGGAAACATTTTGTCGAGAAAATAGTGTCTGGCAATATCAGATGTTTTTAAATCTGCTCTAAATGTTTATAAGTGTATATATTGTAGATTAACTGCCTGTGTTAAGCAATCTAAAAAAAATTATTCTGGATAAGAATGCACTAGCAGCATTTACAATTTCAAAATTTTAGAAACAGCTATTTTATTGTAAATGTATTGATCAAAAAGTCTGGCAAAAGAAAAAAATAACAATGACATGACTCTTTTTTAACTTGTTCGACTTTACAAACGTACTCGATATTTAAATAGCTAAAAGAATCATGCTTACTTTAACCATGAATCCTGTCTATAAGAAGGTATTCTGCTTAAATTAAATTTAAATTATATAAGAAGCTATTCTGCTTAGATCAAATTTTATTTAACTTGAAACAACTTACATCAAAGTGTTTTTACATCTCCTTAAATGAGATTTTATTAAAACTTGTGAATCATTAATCAAAGAAACTAATCAGTTGTTGGTAATGTCATCTGCTAATGAATTAAACAATGAATTTTTCACAAAACACTTTTTACAGTGTTTTGTGAAGATGACAAGAAATACTACAACTGAACAACCAATATTCAGTTGGTATTAGCTACAAAAATACACCTTTTGAAAGTGACTGACACAAACTACAATGAAACCATCTAAAAAAACATCTACTAAACAGTTATTTCTTGCAAATAGAATTTCTGACAATTAAGAAAAATTCCTATCCACTTAATTCCTTGCCAAAAACTGAGAATGATTACAAAATAATATAATCATACGTAAAATAGTGCAATAAGTAATTCATTCCATTTAAGTACAAATTAAAAACTTATTGTGTAAATAGTTCTATGAACAATTTGCTAAATGTAAATTATTTGATACATGAATAGTTATAAAATTAAGATAAATACAGCATAAGAACATATATCACAACATCAGGTAAGTCCAGCAACATTATTTAAAAGCTGGATAAATGTTTCAGATCTATCCCTAAGACCTTTGTCATGTAGGAATCATTCTAAAATGAAATGTTCGAAAAATGCAAAATTTGAACACACAAATGAAAATGTAGCACACATGCATGCTATTTGATTAGAAGACAGTTTAATAGTGTAGAATTGTATATCATTTAGCACACATACTTCTTGTCTTTGTTATTAATACAATTACCATTACTGTTACCCTTAAAAATGCCAAGGCTTCCAGATCTCTGATCTTTTCTCCCGATAAGGGCATTCTTAATAAAATTCTTATTTAAAATACAAATGATGTAATAGCACTTCCCATTACAATGTCATATCGATGCTTGAACATCCTCTTCATTACTGAGTGCTGAGTGGTGCCTATGAAGACATATCCTATCAAATCTGTCATTGCATAGAGAAATCTTGTATATACCAGGGTTTCAATTTTATTCCATCACTTTTTGCTGATAAAGCGACAGTAAAATGATATTTCTTGTGACATGTTATCTCAATAGGAACAAACTTGCTACCAGTTGCTGTAATCATGGTGCTTCCATGCATATTACAACACACTGATGTCTCATCCACAGCTATAATTGCAACTCACTGATGCACTTTTCTTCTCACACATTGGAAATAGTCATTGTATACTATACTATAATGACACTAGCATATCAGTAGTACCCAATGATCTTTTTGAACAAGCAATGTCTTTTGTCTCATGGACAAGTGGTTAATTTCATAAATTTTTCTAGCCATCTTCCGCTAGCTGTGAACATCACATTTTGTTTATCACTTTCATCTAAATAGATGAAGATTTCTCGTCTTGTCCATCACCACCGTCTGAAGACACAGTTATTTTTCTTTTGCTGCTCACATATCCATTGCAGAAACTTTTCTTCTAATTCTTCACTATCTTCTACACTACTCCTTCCAACCTCTGCTTCATTCTTATTTTTGATAGCGGTAAGAGTGTCCTGCTTGCTCCTTCACAAGTGAAATTATCAAACAAAGATTGGTTATCCTTGCTACCAAGGACAATTTAATAGAGACAGCCACCACTCAAAACGAGAAATTTGCATCAGCCATCAGGGATATTAAAGAGGAGATTGACAAGCCGTGCAAGGCGCAACCTCATAGCTCCTTGGGTGAGAATAGAGCTCTTACTACTAGCTATAGTGATGCCTTAAAGAGGGATATCCAGCCGCCTCAACCGACTCGTGAACCTCCAAAGCCTATACATACTGTCCTTGTTTTTAGTGACAAAAAAGAAGACAGCTCAGAAAAAACACAAGCATTGTTTACTGATAACATAAAGCCAACTGAGGTTGGTCTAGGGATCCAGAGGCTTAGAAAAATCAACAATGGCGGAGTGGTGGTAGACCTGGTGGGCGACGTTGATGTGGAATTCTTCCAAGAAAAGGTAGATAAAATCCCAGGGCTGTGTGCAAAGATTGCTAAGAAGCATTGTCCTCTGATAAAATTAGCATCTGTCTCAGCTTCTGTAGAAAGGGAAATTCTGACAAAATGCATACACGAGCAAAATGTTGACATCAACACCTCCCAGGACTACGATAATTTTGATAAATTTCAGAACAAAATCAGAATCAGATTTTCTATCAAACAAAGAGATTCTAATTGCACTACATGGGTTTTTGAGGTTTCCCCAAATTAAGGGATATGCTGCTAAAAGAAGGGAAAATCTGTGTGGAATGGACTAGATTTCCAGTCTATGATTTTGTGCCAACAAACCAATGTTTCAGGTGCCTAAGATTTGGGCATTATGCCCGGGACTGTACATTACAAACAAGGGTCTGTAGCCACTGTGGTGAGGATCATCTGTTCAAAGACTGCACCAACAAAAAGGAGAGACCAAGATGTGCAAACTGCATCAGAGAAAATTTTAAAGAAAATGATCATAACACCATGGATAGATGCTGTCAGGCCTATTTAAGGGCCAAGGCCCAGGCCATTGAGTGCAGTGGCTATGTTACCTAACAACTGTCTCCTGGTTGTGTTTCTTCTCAACATCTTTCATTGGTATTTTCATCTCAACGTTTTTTCAACTTGTTTTGTCCTGTATTCATTCCACTATAACTATGCCTGTTATCCGTTTCATGTTTACTGTTACCATCACATTGTACCCAATGTGTTTCGTGCCCCACATCTTTTATCTTGTACAACCTCTTTTGTAAGTGTATTGTAATCACATATTTACATGTAAGAGATTGCATTCCAGTGATGTTATTGTATTGTGTACCTATTTTGCCTGTGCATTTTACCTTTATATTACAATTAATTATGTATTTTGTAACACCTTTAACTATTTGTATCTTTATTATTGTAATTTGTTACCACCGGGTAGTGCTCACAGCAGAGCCCGGCATGTATCATTGTGTGCATTAATAAAGAAATGAATGAAGCGCAAATTCAATTTGCAGAAAACAAAAAAAACATCAGATAATATGCCTGATAAAATGCCAAACAATATGCCAAATTCTTGGGCTATGTAAAGGCTATAATTAAATATTAGAAATTAAATAATTTGCTAGATGTAGGCAGTTATGCAGCCTTCTCATATTAAATTTAATAATTATAAATAATTAATTTTTAATTTAGATATTTCTAAAATTTAAGTTGGAATTGGTCATTAAATTTAATACAAGATGGCAGCATAACTGCCTGCCTCTAGTAAAATTGTCTCTTCCTCCATACCCACATGCAAACATGTCTAGATCATCCTGACACGGGATTAACGATTGTCCCAATAAAGTCAGCTAACTTACACATTTTTTTCATTTTCATTTTTTTTTTTGGTAGACTAATGAATAAAAATTTTGACACAACAGATCATGTAAAATACCATTGAAGCATTGTGATCAAATATGTAATGCGGAATTATTCATTAAAACATTATTCCTATTTCTTTCTAAGTGACAGCTTAACATATTAATTTTGCCTTTGACTCCAAACTGATAAGGCTACCAGCACCTGGATTAATTAGTAGGTAAAACTAGTGACAACATACAATTTGAAGTGGTAAAAAAAAATTAAAACGGTTGGCAATTTAAAATTTTTCAGAGCTACCCCTGATAAACATGTATACAAATTGTTCTACTATAAATTATTTAATCATTTGAGAAAAATTTCCAACCTTTGAAAAATTTCTGTAAAATACAATGGAACAAGTCAATGCAAAAACACACAAATAGATTTTATTTTATTAAGAGACGATCAAAAGAAAAACAATGAAATCTGTCGACATCACAATGAATTCAATTATTCAATGTATATAGTCTCCAAGTACAGTTTTCAAATCAGTTTGACATTTTTCTTAAGATGCTCCAAGCATTCACAGGTATACCAGCTAGTTTATCATAATAGACAATGTCACCATTTAATTTTTAACTTTCTAAAATCATTTATATTAATAAATACCAACAAAATTCTTATATGAAGTAGTAATTTCTCAGAAAACTTCAAAGACTTCTTTCTAATTATATTAAACTTGTCAAAAATAAAATGTAATACACTATTTTGACTATTTCATTCTTTTAAATATGAATCAATAATGATTGCATCTACTAAAATTTTTCATGTTCATAAGACAAAATTTAAGAATCAAACTTCGATCATACTGGCATATTTTATATCAAAATATTTAATGAACAGCTGAAGACTGACAACTAAAATTAAAATGGATTTAATGTTTTCTTAACTCACTTATA